AAATTAAAATTTTGGAATGACTTACAAGAATTATTACAAAAGATACCTCTAGAAGCAATGTTTAAAATTGCGTATTCGGGTATTGAGGCATTTTTCATTCGTGAGGCGAGGCGTAAGCCTCAAGGCGTTTTGAGGTGTAAGCCTTAAAATCAAAAGATTGCGTAAATATAAAATGTTAAATTTTTTATACACTAATAAGTGAATAATATAAAACATAAAAAATATAGAATATGAAGTGAAATCAAAATATCTCAATAATAAGACAAGTTGAAATATAGTTCAACTTAAAATTCTATCTTTCCCAAATCCTATTATTCTTTTCATTAATATATAATTCCAATTTCCAAAAATAAATAGCAATGCAATATCACATAATAACTCATAAGTCATCAGCACTGTCATCATTAAGGGGGTCTTCATTTGAATGATTATTATGGTGAACTGCTCTCTCCCCTTCCTCCTCTTCCTATAGAGTCCAATGTCGGGCATTTACCAAGATTTATGTAAGTTTTAATATATATATATATATATAGCGTGAGGTATAAGCCTCATGCCAGTGAAGTGAGGCGAGGCAGGCCTCAACCAAATTGAGGCGCATGCCTCATAAAGAAAACTCGAGGCGTAAGCATCAATTTATCTTTTAATAGAATTGCGCAAATGCGGGCCTCAAGGCGAGCCTCATATTATGCAATTTTAAACCATGTCTAAAAGAAAGAGTTTTTATTGGAGGAGATTTAAGTGGACATGTTGGTAGAGAGGTAGATGATTTTAAAAGCATTCATGATGCCTATGATTTTGGAACAACAAATGAAGGTGACAAGACCATATTAGATTTTTGTTTAGCTTATGATTTTTCAATTGTTAATACTTTATTTAAGAAAAAAAAATGAGCATCTCATCACTTATAAAAATGGATATAGTACAATCCAGATTGATTATTTTCTTATAAGAAAATTAGATGGTTTAGATTTCAAAGATTGTAAAGTTATTCCGAGTGAGAATTTATGTACTCAACATCGATTATTAGTTTTAGACTTTAAGATAAAGGGGCAGATATTAAAAAATAAAGTAAAATGATATTCTAGGATTAGATGTGGCTTTTAAAGAATATTAACAAAAATATTTTTGCTAGTAACATTTTAGATCTTAAGATTTTATCTGTGCATGAGGATGCTAATGTTATGTGGAAAAAGTGGCTAGTGATATTAAGAATATTGTAAAAGATATACTTGGAGTATCAAAGGAAAAAGCTCCTAATATTAAAAATAGTTTGTGGTGTAATCCAAATGTGCAAAAAAAGATTAAGAATAAGAAGATTTGTTATAAAAATTAGTTTAATTTTAAAAATTCTGATAATTGGGAAAGATATAAAGAGGCTCGTAAGGAAGCTAAGAAAGTCATATGCGATGCAATGACCTTAGCTTTTAGTGATTTATATAATAGATTAGATATTAAGGAGGGAGAAAGATCTATGTATAAGTTAGCCAAATAAAGAGATAGGAATAGTAAGGATTTAGTTCAAGTGAAGTGTATTAAGGATGAAAATAAAAAACTACTTTTCTTAGAAGATGATATTCAACAAAGGTGGATGAGATATTTTGCTTAATTTTTAGTGAAAATTGTGAAAATAAGATTGACTATAGTGACCTTAGCAACCTAAATGAAAATAAAGATTTTTGGTTTTATCGGCATATTAATAAAATCGAAGTTAGAGAGGCTTTAAAGAAAATGAAGGGTGGAAAAGCTATTGGACCTGATGATATTCCAATAGAGGTGTGGAAATGCTTAGGAAATGAAGGAATTTCTTGGCTTACTAAATTTTTTAATACTATTTTGAAGACTAAAAAGATGTCAAATGAGTGTATTGATTCCTATTTTTAAGAATAAAGGTGATGCACAAGATTGTGCGAATTATAGAGGAATTAAGTTAATGTGTCATACTTTAAAACTATGGGAGCGAGTTATGGAGCATAGGTTGCGGTGTGATACTAATGTTTCTCAAAATCAATTTGAATTCATGCCGGGTAGGTCGACTATGAAAGCCATACATTTATTAAGAGGTTTGATGGAGAAATATAGAGAAAATAAGGAGGATCTACATATGATATTTATTGATTTAGAAAAAGCATATGATAAAGTTCCAAGAGAAGTGCTATGGAGAGCTCTTGAAAAGAAAGGAGTTAATAATGCTTATATTCAAATCATTAAAGATATGTATGCAGGAGCTATTACTTGTGTTCAAACACAAGGTGGTTTGACCAAGTATTTCCCTATTTCGGTTGGGTTACATCAAGGATCAGCCTTATGCCCATATCTTTTTTCGTTAGTCATGGATGTTCTTACTAGACATTTGCAAGAGGATGTACCTTAGTGTATGCTTTTTGCTGATGATATTCTTCTTGTTGATAAGACTTGAGAGGGAGTTGAAAGTAAACTTGAATTATGGAGGTCAACATTAGAGACAAAAGGTTTTCGTTTGAGTAGATCTAAAACAGAATATATGGAGTGTAATTTTAGTAGTAATAGACCTAGTGACGGGATTGTGACTTTGGGCGATCGAGTCATTAATAAGAGTACACATTTTAGATATCTTGGATCTATTGTTCAGAGTTATGGTGAAATAGATAGGGATATTATCAATAGAATTCAAGTTGGATGGTTGAAGTGGAGGAATGCATCGGGCTTGTTGTGTGATAGAAAAGTACCCCTCAAACTTAAAGGAAAATTCTATAAGACGGTAGTGAGGCCTGCAATGCTTTATGGTGCTGAATGTTGGCCATTAAAAGAGAAGCATAATACTAAGTTATGTGTGGCTGAGATGAGGATGCTCAGGTGGATGAGTGGCTTTACCCTTAGAGTTAGGATACGAAATGAGCATATACGTGAAAAGATTGGAATAGCTCCAGTAGAATATAAGATTAGAGAGAGTCGCCTTAGATGGTTTGGTCACATAAAACGGCGGCCTTCTAATGACCCAGTTAGGCGAGTAGAGGTATTAGATTTGACTTATATTAAGAAAGGTAGAGGCAGACCTAAAAAGCTTGGTTAGAAAATATTAGGAATGACCTTTCTTTAGTAGATTTAAACGAGAATTTGACATTTAATAGGACGCAATGGAGAAAAGGATTCATGTAGCCGACCTCACGTAGTGGGATAAAGGCTTGATGTTGTTGTTTGTGTTGTTGGTGAAAAATCTGAAATAAGTATTGAAAATACTCATAATCATGATCTCTATAAAATACAACAAGTTACGTGGTAAAAGTTTTGCCAATACAAAGTTAGTCACATTTTTCGATAATGAAAATAGAAATTTAATCAAAAAAATATCAAAAATACAAAATCATTGAAATTATAAAACGGGTAAATGTTCCTTATAGCGAAATGAGTAATTCTTCCAACTTGTTTTACTGACAAAAATCGCTTCGCGGCCTCCAAATCTTAAATTTTATTTTCTCTCTAAGCTTTTCTCTTAAAATTTCTCAAACCATCTCTATGTTTGTCGAATGAAAAGGGAAAAATGTTTTAAAATAATTTTAAGTTCCTTAGGATATTTTTAATAAAATAATATTTTAATATTATATTATTAATTTAATTAATTTCTTTAGTATAAAATTTAAATAAATTAGTTTAAGACTTTCAAAATTCTAAAAAAATATTCATAAAATAAAACATATTATTAAAAAAATATCGGTGAAATCTGTTTGCATAACGGACACCCGATGGTCCCAAAATTTTCACCTGTACCAACATGTACAAATTTCTTAAAGATTTTCACCGGTGCCCAAAAGTTATGAAAAAATTCATGTAAGTAAAATACCACAATCAAAGTACTTTGGCAAAGACAGTTTGCGATTTGGAGTCATAATGACTTAAAAAAAGTGCAAAGTCAAAATATGGGCTAATACACCTTAGCACTAAATTAGATTTAGGTTCGAGACACTATCCCTTAGTAGTCTCACCTTAGTTCTTGAGTCCATGGCATATTTTGACTTCAGTCATTTCTTAAGCACTCACCTTCCGAGCATTTTCTTAAACAAAATTTGATTTTAAAATGTAAAGTCCAAACTAGGAAAGTCTGAGCACCTCTCAGTTTCCTTAGAATCAAGTTCTCCTAATTCACTTCTTTGATTCTCATTCTCAAAATCTAATTAAAGTTGACCCTTCATCTTTGAAATTTCTAAAGAGTAAAATCTTTAAATAAGAATTTTATAAATTATAAAATAAAAATCTTTTGTCAATATTTTGATGATTTTCAAAGGAAAGGAAATCACTAATTTAATCAAAAGTTTTTTGAAATATCAAATGTTTGAGATATAATTAACCACATGGCTTGCTCCTACGGGGCATCCATACCCTAAATTAAAATAAACCCATTCTACCAAATATTAAACGGGGAACATCTCAATTTAAAATTCAAATTGTAGATTTTGTCGTTGAGTCCATAGGAAAATGATATTTTTGACCTTCAGGACAATATATCATTTTCTATGTCGTGCTTGATCACAAAATATGCTATCCGTTGAGCATGAAGCTTATTTGTCATTTTTTTAGATTTCTTTAACTTGCTTATGATGAAGAGAATCTATAAATGCTGATATAATAGATTTGGTTAATTGTAAAATGGAGCAAACATTAAACCTGGGAACAATTTAATCCTTATTTTAGATATTGAGTATCTCACCAAAATAATTGGGTCTTTTCCATAACAGAGGTCCATACTCCATATCTTTCTCCTTCCGACACCATGATCTTGTGTAAACAACTTAAAAATGATGATCAAAGATTACCAAGCATGTTGTGCTTTGTTTATTTTATCTCATCCTCCGTCCTGCTTTGTCAATTCAGTTGGCCTTATGTGGTCTGTTTACTGTAGAGACACTTTTTGAATTTGCTTGACATGATTATCTACTTTAATGCATAAGAGATAGACAGTGTTAATATTCTTCCTGTGCTGCACATATCTAGTGTTTATTTTTTTATTTTTCTCCATATTTTTTCAGTAATCGACCAAAGAAGACATGTTTATCACGTACTTTAATTGCTTTGCTTCACTATGGAGGTGTACCAAAGGAATACTTCTTGGAACTTGTGAGGAGTGCAATTGATGATCTTCGAAATGCTAGATTTAATAAACGATCAGCATTGAGAGGTAGAATATTCCACTGATAACTCATTATCTTACCTAAATCTTGTGCACAAATTTTTGCGATCTTTTCTGTGGTCTTCATTATTTTTCTTTTCTGTGCAAACTGGATTACCAATATTCGTCGTTTGAGAGTAGGATATGATGGTTCTTATTAGAAAGCTACTTTGTATTAATATAATGACAATTTTACAGTTTCACTGAGATATGGCGAGATGGATGAATTTCTTGTTTCAAGAATGATTCTTTGTGGAGTACCACTTGATGAGCCGTACTTACTATCCCGATTGTTTGTGTTAATGAAAGAAGAGAGGAAGGGCCTCATTCAAGGAAAACTTCCTGTGGATGATTGCTACTATTTGATGGGGACGGCCGATCCAACTGGAACACTCAAGCATAATGAAGTCTGCATCATACTGTATGCCTTGTCAAATAACTGTAATTTTCTATTTAGAAATTTTCAGGAAGCTTTGTTCAATATTTTTCCTCTTTAGTTCATTGCAAGTTTTATTTTCCATGCATTCAATTTATGGAATTCCTTTGCGAATATTATGTACCTTATTTTTTTTTTAAATGTAGTGACAATGGTCAAGTTTCTGGTGATGTTCTTGTATACAAGCATCCTGGTCTACATTTTGGCGATATTCATAGGTTGACTGCAACATATATTAAGGACTTGGAGGACGTTATTGGGAATGCTAAGCATGCCATTTTCTTTTCAGTTAAAGGCACTCGATCTTTGACTGATGAAATTGCTAATAGTGATCTTGATGGTGACATGTATTGGGTTTCTAGGAATCCACAGGTTTGTCTTTTTTCCTGTTTTGTAAATCAGATTTTTTTTTTCTTGTATATGGTACCAAATTATGTTTTCTTTAGATTACCTCTATTTTAACTTCGAAGTGATGGGTTTAAATCATAAAACAAACTTTTAACTGTTCATTGATAAAGCTGTTTATATTTTTATAATTATTGGCTGGAACCTGCTGCCTTCGTAATTTGCTATTTTACCAAATTTTGTTACTCCTGCTTTAGTCATATAACATCTTTGGTACAAATCCATTTCCTCATGCATTATGAATAAATTAATTACGATTTTGTTTTTCAAAAATTGCTTGATGCCACTTAGGCTTCTAGTGTTTATTTGGCTGTTTGGTTAAGTATAAGTCAGCGGTGTAGCTTAAGAAATCTTCCTTTATATATTGCATTACTGTTTACTTCTACAATATGAAGCTTTTATCTTTTTATGCGTTTTTTTTGGCTTAGTTGTTGGCATGCTTTACACCCGGGAAACCTTGGGTTAGACCAGCCCCGGCTCCAATGATATCAAAAACCAAGCCCACGGAATTTTCGGAAACAGAGTTGGAAAGAGAGCTCTTCCAGCAATTTTTAATAAATAGATTCATGCCTAGGTATGAATTCCAAATGTTTTTAAAATATCATGAAGCTTGCTTTGTATTCAGCATCTTAAAGTATTTATATCCCAGGCATGCTTGATTTTTTTTATTGGCATTAAAGTATTTATAATGGCTTTTTTCATAAATCTCTTCCGCGGAAGTGTTTATTTTATTACAATTGGATCTTGTTTTACATGTCAACCTATTCTTGTGCCACAATAAGGGTTCAATTAGCAACACACCAGCTTCATTTCAAAACTAAATAAATAAATTGATGAAAATATAAAGAGAGAAATGATGATTTAAGTTTTTTTTGTGTGTTTCATTTAGGATCTTGCACCTCTGTTTGTACAATAAGATTTTAGGTTATGCTTGGTAATTTCTACCAATTAGAACTATTGATTACTGTGCACTTTGAAAATTCACACTCTGACCTCTCATTGCCTTTTTTGTTGATGCGTAATGTTTTAACGAGTTTAGATTCCAGATGGTAGTAACTCTAGTGAAATATAAGGGACTTAAAAACTTGAAACTTCACTTGGAGCTAAGTTAGCCCGACTTTAGATCTTGTCCGAAAAAGACTGCCAACTAGATAGAGAATATTTTTTTAAATCATGAAATCAAATCTCAATGTATGTGCTCGATAGAGAAGACTACTTTTTATTTAGAAGGTGACTTATAGCTTGGTCATTTCAACCAAGATGTCAGACCATGCGAGTATGCAAATACTGACTCACAATGCAGATTTTTTTTTGTTATTTGGTCCTACATGAGGGCTTTTATATGTGACACTTGGGCTATGCATGATTATTTAAAAAAAAATAAAATAAAAATATGGCTTATTTGAGTATGTCGTGCAATTTTAAGTAGAAAAATATGTGTTATGTCGTGCAATTTTAAGTAGAAAAATATGTGTTATCTTATGATTGATTTTTTTATTTAGATCATTTAATTTGTAAAAATTATAATTTTATCTTAATAGCCTATCGGATAACACCTATTCAGGTCACTCCTAGGAAAAAGCTAGTGAACAAATATTGGAAAAAATATATATATCTAATACCCACTCGAAAGAAACATACAAGCATGTGCATATATATATAATTTCAATTATTACAGTTATGAACGGTAGTTGAGTTGCTGCCTTATACAATCTAAATACATTTTTTTACAGATTTAATTTGTGAGTGTTGACGTTTATTTTTGCAATGAAGCATGAACCAACCTCAATCGAACGTCATATAACTAAAATCGACCCAAATTAAACACCAATTTAATTTAATTTAATTTAATTAAAATCAAATCAAATCCAACCGAGCCTTGTCGAGCGCATTTCGATGCAATTCGATTCAATTCGACGCTGATTCAAGTTTAATTTCACAAAATTAACTTGGTCAGATCCAATTAGACCCAAACCGACTCAAATCGGTTTGAGTTGAGTCCAATTTGGGCTCAATTTCAACCCTAATTGATTGATTTGGGCTAAATTAAATACCTAAATTTGAAATCGAAATGATCGACTCAGATTTCTTGTAGAATCCTGCTCAAATTGTCTTTCTTGCAACGAGGGCTCCGAATTAAGAGCATTTGGGCGGTGGGTCTGCTCCTCTCGTAGTCTTCAAGAAAGCGAAAAGGAGAGCGTCTCTCCCAGGCGTGTTCGCCTGTCCCAGATAGAGCGGAGAAGGGAGAAGGAGCCTTCGGCTCTCCTTACTTGCGTGCGTGCGCCCGGAGCGAGGAAGAAGAAACAAGGGAACAAAACTCCTGTCCGAGACCCAGCTCATGCGCGAGAACCCTATCTACGCAGATTTCTTCCGCATCGGACCTGTTCGAGACCCAGTTCACGCGGAAGGGCATTCGTCCGTGCTAGACCAGTCGCCCATAGCCACCCTGTCCGCGACTTGTCTTGTTTGTTGGTCCCAATGGCTTTCTCTTCTTCCTCTTTCAACTTCGGTGGACTTGCAGTAGGTAAGGAGGCTTTCGAAAGCTTTCACACATCCAAGGTGACTTCCAGAGGAGCTCGGAAAACAACTACAATGTCCTGAGCAGCTAGGACAACATTCTTCTTTCGGAGCAGCTTGGACAGCAATATGGAGCTTGGAGGGAAGCGCTTGGACAGTAGGGTGGTCAGTTGACCCAAAGGCATGCCATATGCGTAGGGTGGTCAGATTTGTTTCCGATGACCCCTCAAATGCATGTAATAGCATTAATGTTGTGTCCAATCTGTCACCTACAATCATGCCCTAGGGTAGACGCTATCATTTGATCTCAAAGTCAATGATAATGCATATATTTGGATTGTCACTAGTTGCATGCACTTCTCATTTAAATGCATTGTCATATGATAAAATTGACACCCAAATTTAGGAGAGTTTGCATGCATTGAATTGATAATCTCTAGAGTTTTGTTGCATGCACTCTTTTCCCTTCATGTGTAATATTTTGGAGCCTCCTCAGGGCTCTAAATATTTCATTACATGAAACATCAAGACTTTAGGATCAAATCCTAAGTCACTCCCCTTTTTTTGAGATAAAAATCAACAAACACACACCTCCATATGTGATATTTTGGAGTCTCTCTAAGCTCCAAATGTCCCTTTACATTAAGCATTGAGGCTTTAGGAAGAAATCCTAAATCCCCCTTTCATTTGCTAATAATAGAAAATCGGCAAATGAACATGTCTCTCCTCTTGTATATTACGATTTGGAATTCTTCAAAATTTCAACACATCATTATATGAAGATTTTGGAGCTTAGAACCAAATTCTAAACTCCTTTCATTCGTTTGAAACACAAAGATCAACGAATGAATACTCTCCTTAGGCTTAGGGTTCTAATCTTAGCCTATCTCATTTGCCTAAGTTTCACAGGTAGATAATCATGCATCACTGAGTACAAAACTTGATGATTGCCTCTCGATTTGTAGTTCTAAAACTACAAATTACATCTCTTATGCATGACATTTGGAGCACCTCCAAGCTTCAAACATGTCATTGCATGAATTCTTTCAAACTTGGAACCAACTTCCAAGTTCTCCCACCTTGTTTGTTGGAGCATAAAACCAACAAATATCCCCTTCATATGTGATATTTTGGAGCACCCTCAAAGGTCTAGATTATTCTATCATATGAATCTTCAAGACTTTATGTTGTAGAACGGGAGCGGCTTTGCTAGGGAGAGGGGGATTTTCATTCATGGGTGCTTGGAAAAAAATTTCCTTAGCACTTGGTAGTCCTCTTGAGTGGTGGCAAAGAGAAAGAAGTTTCTCTTGCACTTGAAAAGGAAACAAACTCCCAACTTTGTTCTCTCAAAATCTGAAAACAGTTTCAGACTTTAAACAAAAATCTGAGAGGAATTCTCAGATTTTAGTGGACAAGGATCTAGAGACAGTTGAGGGAGAAGTCTATCCTTAATGGAGAAGAGAAAGGCTGAGAAGAAATTCCAATCCACGGGTCTTGACTAGAGAAGTTTGCTGGAGCAATTAGGAGAAGAGGAAACGGTGGAACAACCGGGAAATTTAATGGATTTCAATTCCCAAATTAGTGAATGGATTTGGGGGATTAGAATAGGTGAGGTGTTTATATGCTTGGGAGGAAGTAGACAGCAACATGCAACCTCTAGCTGCCTTGGGACAGCAGTTTGATGATCTCTGGCGGGTGGGCAGCAAGTATCTTTGGACTGGTTTCTCTAAACAGCAAAATGAACTCTTGGACAGCACACCATGGCCTCCTGGTGGCAAGACAGTCACCAAAAACAGTCCAGAAATTCCTGGACAGCAATCTCGGGTCTTCAAGGATGCAGGACGGCAAGCCAATAATGCTGGAATATGTGGGCAGCCAATTGGAGTTTCCAGGAAAGGGAAGGAAAACGTGGGAAGAGCTTAGAGAGGAGGCGGTGGAATTAGATTAGCAGGTGGGGTTTAATTCCAAAATTAAAATGTCTGATTTTGGAAAAATTTAAAGAGGTGAGAGCCTAGGGAGTTACGGCCAAGAAGTAAGGAATGAACGCTTGAATTATTTCTCAGAATATGGCTTGGCTTTTGGAAAGAATTCCAAAGAGGAATTATATGGGGGCCGGTGGTTTAGAGCTGATGGAGAGGATATGGGAATTGATTTTGGGTGTAATTAATAGGCTAGGGGGATTTAGGAAAGTAATTAACTAAATCCTATTTGAATCTGAAATTCAAATTGATTTGATTAAAGAACTTTTCTAAAATAGTTTTGTTATATCAGGAAAGATTTTGAAATTCGCATTAATTAATTTTGAATTTTAAATCTTTCCCGCATTCAACTCAATCATAATAGGAAAACAAACTTGGATGGGGGAAGAGGGCTTGAATCGGCGGCTAGGGAGATTGGGTCGGCGGTGTGAAGGGGTCGGGTGGGATGCTTGGCCGTGGGTGTTGGACGGGGAAAAGAAGGGTTTTCGGGTGAGACTAGAATCCAGCGGCCAAACGAAGATGGGGAGGAGGAAGAAGATGAAGATAACGATGAAGAGCAATAAGAAGGAACAAAAGCAAATAAACAAAATATCAAAGATACAACCGCGAGCCCGGACACATCCTGCGGCTGACGGGTACTACGTTGCACTTCTCCAAGGGACTTCACGCCACGAGCCCGGACCCATCCTGCGGTTTGTGGAAACTCCGACTCCCTCCCATAGGGATTTCACTAATGTTCTTCCCAAAGAACCCAAGTGCAAAACGCAAATTTTTTTTATTAATAATCCATCATGTCCTAATACAAGAGCAAATGCCTCTATATATAGGCCTTAAAAGAAACTAAAAGACAATTTTGCCCCTTGGGCTTACATAAAACAAATTCCTTAAGGGTAAAAAAGAAAAAAATGCATAATTAAATAAAAATTAAAATTAATAAAATAAGATAAAATGAAGGGATCTCGGTCGTCGATCTTGGTCTCTTCCTTTGATGAATGCCCAGCGTCGGATGTCCGCATCACTTTAGGGCTAAATCCTATGTCTAAACCTTTATTTGTTAAGATATGATATTAACAAATGA